CCGCTGCCAATCCTCATCACCCTCGTCACGATGTTCTCCCGCAGGTGCATCGCGGGCGGTTGGCGGAGAGCGAGGCGCGGCGGTACTTCCAGCAGCTGGTGGACGCCGTCGACTGCTGCCACGCCAAGGGCGTCTGCCACCGCGACCTCAAAGTGAGCCCCTCTGCTCTGCTCCCGCCACCTCAAAGTGCGTTTAGTCTTGGGCCTTTCAAGAGGGTATTTGATCTCGTCTTACTGTCTTGGTCCTTTCTCATTTCCTACTTCTTGGGTTCCCTATCTCACCCACCTCTCCCATGCTCTCTTCCGCCCCTTCCCCCCTCCCTGTCAGCCGGAGAATTTGCTGCTAGACGAGCGCGGCAATCTCAAGGTGTCGGACTTTGGGCTGAGCGCCCTGCCGCAGCAGCAACACCGCGACGGGTTGCTTCACACCACCTGCGGCACTCCCAACTACGTCGCCCCCGAGGTCCGCCCCTCTGCCCCACTGCCCCACCGCTCCACTGCTCCCCTGCCTCACTGCGTCACTACCTCACTGCTCCACTGTCTGGTGTTTCGCCACTTCCTGTGCTCGCCATAACCGTCACCTGCTCTTAAGCTGCTCTGCCACGCTGTTCATCCGCTCCTCTCCTGCTCATCCACTCCTCTCCTGCTTCTCCGCTCCTCCCCTGCTCATCCGCTCTTCCCACGCCTTCCCACCAGGTGCTGTGCGAAAAAGGGTACGACGGGCGCCTGGCGGACGTGTGGTCGTGTGGGGTCATCCTCTTCGTGCTGCTCGCGGGCTACGCGCCCTTCCAGGACAGCGACTTGCGCCCGCTCTACCGCAAGATCCGTCATGCACTTTTCTCCTTCCCCGCGTGCGTCTCGCCCTCCGCGCGCTCCCTCATCTCCGCCATCCTACAGCCCGACCCTGCCAAGGTGCGCTGATGATCATCACTTGTGACTCTTCCCTTGCTCTCAGGCACACACTCAGATTCTCTCGCTCGTCCACTCCCTCTCTCACACTCTTCTCTCCTTCATCCTGCCCCCCTTCCCCCGACCAGCGGCTGACGATGGAGGGCATAAGGCAGCACGTGTGGTTCAAGCCGGGGTACATCCCAGCCCAGCCCAGCCCAGAGGCCCCAGTGCACACATGTGACATTGACTCCGCCTTCTCCCACCACCACCTGCTCGGCCTCTCCGCCCCCACACAACCGCTCTCAACCGCACGGTCGTCGCTGCCAGCGCCGCCACCCTCGCAGTGCGGAGCGGAGCTTCGGATCACTGCCGTGGATTCACTCCCGCGCTCCACCTCCCCGCCCCTCCCCTCGCCTTCTTCCGACGCGAGTGCTGCCCCCTCCTCGTCCGCGCTCTCCGCTGGTCCCTGTGCCTCCCTGCGGTTGCCGCGTGCACTCAGCTGCAACAGCAGCACCGACAGCGACAGCGGCAGTGGCAGCGGTAATGACGGCACGTCATTAATCAGCCCTTGCTCTGCTGCTCCCTCTGCTGCCGCTGCTGCAGCTGACTATCCTCTTCCCACCCTGCCCTCCCCCTCCTGCCCCTCCTGCAGACTTAGCGCATGGGGGAGCGAGCAGGGACTGGGGGAGCGAGGAGGGAAAGGAGCCGGGAGTGAGGGGCATGGGAGCGAGGGGGGCGAAGGAGAGAGGGCAGAAGGTGGAGGAGTGAAGGAGGGTGGAGCGGGAGCATCAGCAGCGGAGGAGAGTCCAGAGCTGATGAACGCATTTGACCTGATAGCACGTGCGCACGCGCTGAACCTAGGAGCGCTCTTTCACCGCCGTGCCGACCCTGTTCTGAGACAAACCCGCTTCGCCTCGCGCCTGCCGCCCGCTCTCATCCGCTCGCGTCTCCTCGCGCTTGCACCGGCCCTGCACGTTGATGCCCACGCCAAGCTCTTCAAGATCCGATTCTGCCGACCTGCAAGGAATAGAGGACGAGAGCTGACCGTGGTGATCCAGGTAATGCCCGCCCTGTGCACACGCTCAGGCAATTCATTCCTCATGGAGCCCCAGCCAGCACTGATGTCCCCGTCATGTTTGTTCTTCTCGCGCACACCTTGCTGCGAGCAGTGTTCAAATCTACAACCTCACAGTTGCTCCGCTGCAAAGTCATTTCTGCGCTAGGCTCAGGCTCCCGCCCTACGAACTTGGCCAGTGTTGCTATCGCACCACCACTCATTATCCTTGGGTCCTGCACGATTGTGCTTGTGCGCTCGTGGCGCTGCAGATATTTGAGATGACGCCGGGGGTGTTCATGGTGGAAGCACGCAAGGATGCGGGTGACGCCCTCGAATACCACAAGGTGAGCCCACCAACCTAACCCCCAAACCTTATTTTTCACCCCGCCCACCTCCCTGTACTCACATGTTTTCAATCCCTGTTGGCACTCCTTCCTCCCTAGTTTCTAATTTTGTCACTCGCACTCCCTGCTCCCTCTCTTCCACCCCACCAGTTCTACCGTGCACTGCTGGCACGGGTCACAGACATGGTGTGCCACGACAGCACTCGCACGCCCCATCCCTCCATCGCCCCGCCCCTCGCCACTGCTCTTGCTCCTACGACCCTCCCATCCTCGCCTCCCGACTCCACCACCTGTGCCTCTGCGCCATCGCCCGGCGTGTTTGGCAAGCCAGGAGTGCTGCAGGAGGCAAAACCGGGCCTCCCAAGGGACGAGGCAGAGCAGTTGATATGGCCACAGCAGGTTCAGTCAGCCCATAGGCGGGCATCTCTGGATGAGGGCCGGATCGTCACCACGCAGGCATGTGGCAGTTTTGATGGCGAGAGAGGCAGGCGGAGATCCATGGACGATGCCAGCCAGGCAATTGCTGATATGGTAACAAGAGAAGCAGCAGCGGCTGCAGGTGTGGCAGAGGCAGCAAGGAGAGATGAAGAGGCGTTCAAATCCCCTGCAAAGACCAGGTCATTGGATTTCTGGCCTGGTTCGCTTATGTCGTCGGTGCTGCAGTCACCCCTCTTCAAGACCCGCTCCTCCGCAACTGCATCGCCCTCCAAGCGTCTATGCAGCCCTCTGCGCAACGACCTCCCTGCTTTGAGCCTGACACAGCTGCACAGCTGCTCGTGCTCCTGCTCTGGCCCTGTGTGCCATTGTCGGGCGGCACTGAGCTGCAGTGCGGACAGGAGTGGAGATGGTGATGGCAGGGGTGAGAGTGGGGGTGACACGGATGCTGTGCAACTGCAGGAGGTGATGTGAAACGGGTGCACCAGATGGAACTGGAGCAGCAGAACAGATTGTTGGAGTGGCATCAATGAAGGCCAGAGTGCTGCTGGTGATGATTGCACACAACATGGCGCGTTCTTTGTTGGGCAGGCGACAAGGGGCGTCACTAAGTGGCCTACTGATATGTATCAGGTTTCGAGAGCCTGTTCGGGCTTGTGGCTACTGGTGCAGAGTCTTCACAATCATCACTGATATACATGTGTAATGTTTCGTTTGTTTCATTCTTGTACTGTATGTATTATAATGTTATTCAAAAGCATTCTGTATGTTTCAAGTTCAGTATGATCCTGGTGATGGATATGGGTTGAGGCTAATTGGTGTGGCAATGGGGTTGCTGGCGTTGCCAGCCTCCTCTCTTTTTGTTTAGAATGGATGTATTACAATGGCCTCTTCACCTTACCTTACGCTGAACAGCGTGCAATCTCTTCGCATCGCAACCTTGATCGGGATGGGCAGTATTTTCTGTTTCAGGGGGACCGAGGTTGTTGGCTTGAAGTTCTGTTTGTCCAGGGTCTCAACCGGCAACAAAAACTCGTTGGTCAGTCAACTGTCATGGTTGACCAAAATTGCGACTCTGAAACTTGTAATTGTGCCTCGTATTCCTCCACACACAATGCTTTTCTGCAAATAATTTGGTATGTGTTCCGCGGGTTGAAATAGAAAAAGGGTCGTTTGGAAATTGGAACTGACAGGCAAGCAAGCCAAAAACGGCCAAGCTGCCTCATTTTTTTTGGCATGAGTGGTGTGGTGTGCCCGTGGACTGAGCGGCTGCTGTGGTGTTGGCCATGCCGTGCCGATGGCCCATGGGGGAGACAACCGTACGGTTGTGCTGTGATTCGTGGCTGGCAGGCACCAGCCGCTCGGGGGTGCCTGTTGGCTTGCGGTGGTGTGGGGACAAGCAGCATGCGCGGAAAGGGTGGTTGGGGGATTTCCGGAGCGAAGGGGGAGGGAGAGCCATGCGCACAAGCCAAGAAGTTAGGGTGCGTTGACTCGTCAAGCACAGAAAGGCTCCACATCGGTTACAAACATATTTCAAGGTGTTCACCGAGGTTCAAGAGCTCACACGAATCACCATGCGCCCCAGACAGGTTCTGTCTTGAAGCTGAATCGAATGGAGGAGCGGGGGGGGGTGGAGCCTTGCGCGGTGGAGTGAGAGAGCCCCACCCAGGGCTCGGCGCAACGACAGCCAGCAAATCCCCTGTGTGTCCCATCGATTGGATCTTTCCGCGCGCTTCATAATTTCAACCGCACGATTCCCGCAAGGGACTCATCTGCACCCTCCGTATCTGCTGGGTGCAGTTCAATGAGCAGCAGCTTCAGCTTTTCCGCTCCTGGCAGTGCGCAAGCACAATCCCATGCCATCCCACGGACCCATTCCCCACTGTAAAGCCCAATCCATTATCGCCTCTGGCTGTTCTTGTCTTTCTCCTCCCAGTTTCACGTAGTGAAGGTTGTTCCTGACCTTGTTCCCGCAACTCCTGTAGCCTATTATAAGAGGGACGAGCTTGAGTCATCGTACATCGCACATGCGACTTCCGCGCACATGGTGCATCGCATTTCTGTCCCATGTTCATAGCGTTCTCACAGCCGGTTCCGTCGATATTCCTCGTGACCGTCTCCGTTAGTATGCATCGCATTCAACCATTAATACTACTACCCTTGCAATAATAAATACGAAAAATCTTCAGGTTCGTGGACGCATTGTAAGGCCGTGTACACCAATCCGTGTCTACTTCGCGGCAAGAGCGCGCACCAGAATCCCCCATCCCCTGCATGGGGAGCGACGGCTCCGCGGAACTGACTTCCCGACACATTCCCCCCTGCGAACCCGACCAGCTGCGCGCTGTTTCTTCCGCCCCTTCCGCCCCCTCCGCCATGGCTTCCGCTCACACCGCCCGCCCGCGCCCCGCGCCCGTCGACGAGCGAGCCGCCGCGCGCGTCAACTCCGCCGGGTCGCCCGGCGGCAGTCGCAGCCCGTCGTGGAAGCTCAAAGGAAACATCTTAAGCAAGGCGCTGCGTAGCCTGCAGGGCCGCGGGAAGCAGAAATCGCAATCGACGCTCGCCGTCGAGAGCGACTCGATGGAATCCAACGGTCAGCAATGCAGCCGGAGCGAGCGGATGGACGAGTCGCAGCTAGCGGCGCTGCCGCGTCCGCAGCTCGCGCGGTCGCTGTCGCACGGCAGCCGCGAGAAGACGCGCCTCGGCTTGCCGCCACAGCAGCAGGCCAGCGTGCCCGCGAGCCCCTTCCACCTCGACAGCGGCGCGGTCAGCCCGGTTTTAGGGCCGACAGCATCGGCGCCGACCCCGCTGAGTCCCGAGCCGCATATGCCGGAGATGCATTTAATGGACATGGATATGCCGATGCTGGCGCAAGCGGCGCTCGCGCACTCGCTGGCGCAGCATCCCGCGAGCTCGGGCGGCGAAGCGTCGCCGTCGAGGCGGGCGGAGGGGGAGGCTGCGGGGTGCGCGGCTTCGGGGGAATGGCCGCCTAGCGGGTGGCCACAGGCGGAGGCCGGCGGAAGTGGCGCGCATGGCGGAAGCGGACGGCGGAGCAATGCGGCAGCGGGCGAAGGAACTTCGGTAAGAAGCGTAGGGAGTGTGCTTTTGCGTGCATGGATTTTCCTCGTGAGTGTCGTTCCATTCACCGCCCTCCGCGCCGTATACCTTTCCCACGATCGCCTTCCCCCTCTTCCGCGCCCCTGCGCTTCCCCTCTCCCAACCCTAACAGCAGTCGCGGTCCATCCCGCCCATTCCCACCCCTCCCGCGCCCCTCTCTCCGCTTAACATGCCCCTGGCGGGCGCGCCGGTTCCCCCAAGGGAGTCCCGCTCCGCCCACCGCAGCAGATCGCGGGAGAAGGCGCGGGGGCACGGGGGACACGGCGCGCACGGGGGGAGGCAGTGCCAGCGCAGCATGAGTCACGACGAGGGGCAGCTGAACGGGTGGGTGGGGGGGGAGGGGGAAGCGGGGGAGGACGAAGAGGAGGGGGAGGACGAGGAGGGGGAGTGGGGGGAGGCGGAGGAGCAGGTGCGCGAGAAGCTGGCGCGCATTGAGGAGAAGCTGGCGCGGCTGCGCGCCAAGCGGCAGCAGTACGTGGCGCGTCTGCAGCGCGTGCAGGCCAAGAAGGAGAAGGTCGCGGGGCCCATCCAGCAATGGCTCCGCCCGCCCCCGCGCCTGCAGCAGTAGGGGGGGAAAGGGGAAGAGAGGGGGAGCGGGGAGGGGAAAAAGGGAGAGTGGAAGGGTCAGTGGGAGGGAGGGAAGGCGGAAGGAGGAGGGGTGAGGATGCGGTGCAGGAGAGGGAGGGAGCTGGGCATTGAGAGGGCTGAGTCCTGCAGCAGAGAGAGGGGTTGTCCCCTCCTCTCTGTTGTGGTGCTGCGGGTGCATTGCCTCCCAGTGCACTGGTGTCTCCTGCCTGCTTCCCTCTGCCCCTCTGCATGCTCCACTGCTCAACTGCTGCCCCCCCCCCTTCTCTCAGGACAACACAAAAGCCATTCGCTCATTAGATGTTGATCCCCAGTGTGGCAATCGAAAATACTCAATGCAGCTTCAACAGGCCTGGGGGTGCATGGGAAGACTATGGGGGCTATCGCTCATTAGCACCCTGCCTGGGTGATGCGCTGTGCAATGTACACCATCTCATCCTTGTGTGCCGCCAGCACTCTGGGCCGTGCTGGGCGATGCTGTACCTCTGTACCATATGTGTGTGTGATCCTAGAATAGCAATCCAGCTGTTAATCCAGTATACTCTTGCACGCACATGACTTACAACTGCTATGCTCGGCCACTGCCCAAGGTTGTGGCGACTCCTCACTCACCCTTGCTACACATCCAGAAGGAGGTTGAACGGTATATTTCTGAAGCCAAATTTGGACTTGTTGATTCCAAAAGCCATAAGCACTATGCCGAATGTAAGCATTTTTTCTAACAATGGAAGTGTTTCGAAATTATTTCGCATGGTGCTCTCCCTACAATTCTCAAGGTCCTTGGCATCAAGGGATTGAATGTTTCTGAATCCAAATCGGTTGAGGGATCAGGGTACTCACCTTTGCGCCGTTGGATCGATTTGAAACTGTGGTGTAAGATACATGGACAGCTTTCCCACCATCGCTTCAATGGGCGGCCTTCCGCACGAAGACTCCAGAACTGCTTCAACTCGGCAGTTTTCGTGCAAACCCAGGGATAATCTACGCTGGCGAACAGATATCCCTTCGTATGTTACGTAACAGACGCGCGAAAATCCCACCTTGTTTTGGCCTTTTCCTTCTAGCGGACGAAGGATGATTCTACAGCTCCTCCGTAGCTTCTCTCTGTCGAGACTAAGGGTGCATTCCGCTGTGGACACATGTCCCAATCGAGTGTACCGCTCCGAACCGAACTAAACCAGAGACGCGAAAATTTCGAAACTAGGGTGCAATTTGGTGTCATACGATGCAGTGCGGTAGAAACGATTGGGACACATCAATTGGGACATGTGTCCACAGCGGAATGCACCCTAAGGCAAGGATGATTTGACTAAGATGAGTGAGAATCATACATGAAGGAACCCCCTAAAGGGTTGTATTCTACAGTGTGTGCCCCACTACAGCCTACCCAAATCCAAAACATAGATATATGTTTGACACACCCCCATAGGCAAAGTGGGGGGGAACAGAGGGTCACAAGACCAGTCAGAAAATGCAAAGCAAGCTCAGGGTGGATCACAACGTCACCACGCAGTCTGAGCACAAGCAAAAGGGCCACAAGGCCAAGTCACATGCAGAGATATATATGAAACAACAACAACACGGTGATCTCTACCTACGAGAGCAAGCAGGCAGGTATATATATAAATCACAGTACAAGTAAAGCCTACAGCAAGTGGGGAAGTGTAGGCACAAGGCCTAACAAATTACAGAAACGCTGATGATCACCAGGCGGAAGTGCCTTGGTGAATATATCAACAGTGCTGGCCCGAGTGGCCACGTAAGCAAGACGAAGCTGGCCGCGCTGCTGTAACTCTCGAGCAAGGAAGTAATGCAGAGCGATGTGCTTCGTTCTGTGGTCCAGTCTATACTCCTGACACAAGGCAATGGCGGCCTTGTTGTCGACGTACAGCACTGAAGGAGAACGAGGCCGCTCTCCCAAATCGGTCAGCAGGTATGTGAGCCAGCGTAGCTCCTGTGCAGCCATGGCTGTGGCGTAGATCTCAGCCTCACAACTGGAGCCGAGAACTGAAGACGATCGTGTAGAACGTCAGGAAACTGAACCAGAGCCAAGGCTGAAGGTGTAACCCTGTGACGACCGCTGCGTAGCCTGGTCGTCAACCCAAGGGGCGTCCGAGTGACCAGTGAGGAAAATGTCCTCCGTCCTCCAAGCACGAGCCCCATGCCCGATGTACTGCACAAGTAGCGTAGTACCCTCTTAGCAGCATCTATGTGCACCTTTCGGTGCCGACCAGGAGCCACGTAGCGAGCCAGAAGGCCAAGAGGGTACGCAAGGTCAGGACAAGTGCAGGTCATCAGGTACATGAGGCAGCCCACTATCTCTGGATAAGGACCACTTGGCTTTGCGGACTCGTTCGAAGGTGGAGCTGAGAGCGAGTGACCTGTAGCCAGAGGAGTGGCCTGTGCTGAGGACCAGATGAAGCCGAAGCACTGAAGGACCTGCTGCACCATGTGTGACTGAGTCAGTGTGATGGTGCGGCGTGCTCTGTCCCGAGTGATCTGCAAGCCAAAGTAGCTGCGCAGTTCACCTAGGTCTGTGCACGTGTGTCTCTTCTACAGCTCCGACTTCACCAGGGCGAGAGCCTCAATGTCACCAGTGGCAAAGACCAAGTCGTCGACGTACACGAGGATGTAGAACGGCGGCAACGAGGTGTCGGTGCGCAGAAACAGCGACGGGTCAGCAGTCGACGGGGCAAACACAAGAGCCGCAAGAGTCATCCTCAGTGCGTCGTGCCACCCATGAGGCGTCTGGCGGAGACCGTAGACTGGCCACCGGAGGCTCCACTGGGTACTAGGAGGGAACGACCTAGTGAAGCCAGGTGGACGGCGCAGCTTGATCTCCTCGTGTAGACTGCCCTGTAAGAAAGCTGTGCTGAAGTCAAGAGAGTGAAGCTCGTAGTCACGCTGAGCGGCAACATGCAGCAGCACCTGAAGAGTGGTCATCTTCGAGGTGGGGGAGAAGGTCTAGAAGAAGTCAACTCCCTCTCGCTGACTGAAAGCTCGAGCAACGTAACGAGCCTTAAAGACAGGCGGAAAACCTAGCGGCCGCTTCACCTTGAAAATCCACATGCGACCGACGATGTTCGCCCCCAGGAGGGGGAACCTTGTCGACGTAGGTGCCTGTGGACTTCCAGGAAGCCATCTCTGCGTCCATGGCTGTCTGCCACTGAGAGGAGTACTCATCCGCGATCGCCTTAGTGTAAGAGCGCGGGGCCGGGATGTTTGGAGCATCCGGGCCTCCCTCAAGGGCAAGCAGCATGGCCACGAGATGAGGCGCAGCGGCTGCAAGACACTCAAGGTCCTCCTGCCTGTCCTCGAGGACGTCTGTGCCAAGAGCACACTCACCCCCGACGGACGGAGGACAGACAGACCCAGACTCAGCAACAAGACTAGCATCGTAGTCTAGACGACAGGCAGCAGCAAATTCAACAAGCTCAGCGACTAAGGCAGACGCAGCAGCAGACTCAAACGACGGGTCGGCGACAACAGTGGCTAGCAGACGCGTGACAGTAGGGTTCTCAGCACAAAACTAGTCAGACGCAGGGTTAGCAACGACAGGTAGAGAGGACGCAGGGGGAGACGGCAGGGGAACACGCGGCGGCGGAGAGGAAGGACGATGGACTACAAAGGAAGGGCCGGGGACAGCCGGCTGACGCTGACGAGGAACACGACAATTGGAACGACCAGAACGGACAGGTGAGACAGGACGCAACGCAGGCTCACGACGCTCAGCAAGGCCCCCTGTCTGCTCAGCGTAAGGAGAAGGAGCAGGCAGAGGTGAGCCAGGCTGTAACGGAAGATCAGTAGACGACGGGAGGCTAAGAACCTGGCGAAGCACGAAGTCAGGCGGTGACAGAGACGACGGAGACGGCGGAGCAAAGAACACGCGCGGCTGTGCAGTGCCACCAGCACCAGTAGCTCCAACACCTCCAGCAGCTCGAGCACCTCCAGTAGCTCCAGCACCTCCAGTAGCTCCAGCACCTCTAGTAGCTCCAGCACCCTCAGCAGCTCCAGCACCTCCACAAGCTCTAGTACCCTCAGCAACTCCAACACCTCCAGCAGCTCTAGCACCCTCGGCAGCTCCAGCACCTCCAGCAGCTCCAGGACCCTTAGCAGCTCCAGTACCTCCAGCAGCTCCAGTACCCTCAGCAGCTCCAGCACCTCCAGCAGCTCCAGTACCCTCAGCAGCTCCAGCACCTCCAGCAGCTCCAGCACCCTCAGTAGCTCCAACACCTCCAGCAGCTCCAGTACCCTCAGCACCAGCCCCACCTGGTGCAGCACCCCCTGAACCAGCACCTCCAGTCCCAGGGTCTCCAACCGCAGTGCCACCAGCAGCAGCACCCTCAGACAAACCACCGCCAGCCCCAACAGCTCCAGTACCCCCCATACGAACACCTCTGAGACCAGCGACACCAGCACCTCCAGCAGGCAAAGGACCAGCACCACTCCCAGCTCCAGTGACGCCACCAGAAGAACCCCCAGCAGTAGAGCCCTGAGGTGCAGAGCGCGACACTGATGGCGACCGTACCAGTTGTGCAGCTGCTGGGAGGTGAGAGGCACACGCGGACAAGACGGCTACTCCAAGGAGACCGCGTAACAGCAGTCTTAGAACCCTCAGACGACTCACCCCCAGACTCAGCACCCCCATGCTCCGCACACGTAGGCGCAGCACCCCCAGACGTAGCACCCCCAGGCGCATCACCCCCAGACGCAGCATCCCCAGGCTCAGGACCTCCAGGCTCCTCACGCGCACGCTCAGCACCTCCAGGCTCCGCACCCTCAGGCTCCTCACGCTCAGAGCCCCCAGACTCAGCACCCCTACGCTGCGCACCCCCAAGCTCCGCACCCCCAGGGACAACACCACTCCCAGCAGGACCGGAGTCACCAGTGACCTCAACAGGCGCATGGACGGGATGGTCTACCTGAGAAACATCTGAAGAAGCAGGACCTGGCGCGGGGAGGGGGTCTACCTGGGGAGGACCTGGGGCGAGAAAGAGCGGCGGGAGGGGGCGAGGAGCAGTGCGGTAGGGGAAGAGGCGGTAAAAGGGGACCGACTCGTCAAAGGTGACGTCCTGAGACGCAAAGACACGGCTCGAGGCGGGGTCGTAAAACTGCCAGCCAGGCGCGTCAGGGACAAAGCCAAGGAAGACGCAAGGAATGGCGTGAGGGGAGAGCTTGTTCGCAGTGGTATCGCGGACAAAGGCACGAGCACCCCAGACCCGGAAACGTGACGCGTCGCCAACCTTCCCCGTCGACAGCAGTGTGGGCGAGGTCTCCGACAAGGAGACACGGGGCCAAAGGTTGAGCTGATGCGCGGCGTACCGGACCGCAAACGGCCACAGAAAATGGGGGGCAGCCGCATGGATCATGGAGGTACGAGCGACCTCCATGACTAAGCCAATGCGGCGCTCAGCAACCCCATTCTCCTGCGGAGAGGCCAGAAGCGTGCAAGTCTGGCGGATGCCGTGCTCCGCATAGAAGGCCGCCAAGAGGTCTGAGGAGAACTCACCACCTCTGTCAGACTGCAGACGTAGGACAGGAAAGTCTGACTGGAACCGCTCGCGGAGCTGGAGACGAGCAGCGCGGATCCAGGGGATAAGAACATCAGGGACATCCCCTTTGCACTGCAAGGGGAAGACCGCGGTGTAACGCGTGTAGTCGTCGACAACCAGCAAGAAGTACCGCTCGTGGCCCTATCCACAGACGCGGGCTGGGCCCCACACGTCCAGGTGGAGAGTCTGCAGGGGAGCCTTTATGGGAGGGAACGAGGAGGAGTGAGGAGCGGCGCGCTGCCGCCCCTCGACGCAAGGAATGCAGGGAGGCGCAGGCGAGGGAGGGAGGGCACGCAGAGACCTGGGAAGACCAGAGACCAGGAAGCGTGAGTGCATGCTACGAAGGCGAGGCAGTGAGGGGTGACCAAGGCGGTGGTGCCACAGGAGAGTGTCGTGCGACAGCCGGCGACACTCACACTGGGTAACTACCTGAGCAGACGCGTGTAAGTGGGGAGACAAAGGGGCGGAGTGCGACGCAGTGTTGAGGGTGTACAGACTGGACCCTGGTGCACGAGTGAACGTGGCTAGGTGGCGGCCAGTCCGGGAGCACGTGCAAATCGCCACACGCTGCCGGCCAGGGGTGAAGGTGTCAACCCCCACATCTTGGAGGAGAGCGTTGCTCACCAAGTTCGTAGAGAACGAGGGGAGGTGGAGACCAGACAGCTCACCAAACGGGACCGCCAGACACGGAAGCACGGTGGAAGACCGTGCAAGCACTGGGCCCCCCGAGGGGTCAGCCAGTGAGACAGGAACAGGTGCAGGGAGGGGAGTGACTGTGGTACTATCGCGAAAAAAACAGCGGGATGCACCAGAGTCAAGTGTGAAGGTGTGCAAGGCCTGTGCAGGTGCAGTACCAAGGGGAGCAGACTCACAAGCACCTAGTGGTGCAGGCGCTATACCAAGGGCTATTCCAGGGTCCGGTGGCACACACAAGTAACAGTCACCCTCAGCACTAACAGACAATGCATACATAGCAGCAATAATAGCCTCATAGTCAAGATCAAAGATAAGTACATCACGCCTAAGTAGGTCGCCCAGTTGGGGAACTCAGGAGCATTAGGAAACTTGACGCGCCAGGCGTCGCTAAGTCGAGCGAAGCATCGCTGCTCAATGTGAAACCCTGTGCACTGGCGACCAGCGCGGGGACCTGTGCGAATGATATAGGGGCAGCGACCAGGACCCCTAGAAGCCCCACGCCCGGCATACCAGTGAAGAAGCTGCTGGGAAGTGGGGGTCTGGCGCTGACGCTGCTGCTGCTGCTGCGGCTGCTGCTGGCCCTGACCACCACTGCCACCACCGCTCCCTCCTCCCCCACCGCCGCTGCTGCCACTTTCACCACTCCCAGTGCCTCCGCCGCCCCCACCACCACCTCCACCACCTCCACCCCCACGACCACCTTCACCACCTCCACCTCCCCCGCCACCTGCACCACCGCCACCTCCACCGCCACCCCCACCTCCCCTGCCACCCTTGCCGCCCCTGCCGCTGCGACGCTTCCCACTAGGAGCGGAAGCAGCCCCGACCTCCTCAACACCAAGGTAGTCGTGAGCAGCAGCTGCGGAGGTGTAGGAGGGGGTGAGAGGGGAGGGGGAGCATCCCTCAAAAAGGGGAGAGCGAGGAGTGCCACGAGCAGCACCTACAGCGAGGATGCTCTTCTTTGCTGCGAGGAGGTGCTTCTCGAAGTCGTCAACAGTGAGAGTGGTGGGGTCTAGCGCTAGGAAGTGGTTCCTGACGGAGCTAAGAGTGTCAGGGAGGCGGGTGACGAGGAAATAGAGAGTGAAGTACATCGGGGGGGGGGGGGGGGGGTTGCGGCGCAGAACACGGCTGAAAGGGCGGCATGAAAGCGAGTGTCAGTAGCGCGCAGGTGGGAAATGAGGTCCTCAGTAGTGTTGAACGAGGAAAGGTCGGGGATTAGGTAGGGTAGCATGAGTCGGCCTATGGCTGCAGTGGCCGGGTAGGAGTAGCGCGCAACTACAGCGTCGTACAGCGTCTTAGCAGTTTTGAGCTGGCTGAAATGCGCGTGCTCAGTAATCGGCAGATGGTTCCTAATAGCTAGGCGTGCAGCAGCATTGCGAGTCTGCCACTGCGAGCGTTCGAGAGCAGGAGCATCGGCAGTGCCAGACACGTAATCAAACAGTGAAACGCCCTCTTTGGCATCGGTCAGAAGGAACAATTGGAGGTCGTCTAACCACACAACGAACTCTATGGGGCTACCGTCAGGCTCGAACGCGAGAACGTTAGGCGTCGTCATAATGGCAGCAGGCAAAGGCAGTAGGCAGCAGGCAGCAGACAAGAGGCAGTAGGCACCAGGCCGCAAGCAAGGACAGAGGCAGCATGCAGCAGGCAGGAGGCAGCAGGCAGTAGGCAGAAGGCAGTAGCGGCCGCACGCGAGCTCCTAAAGCAACAGGCTAGGTAGCAGTGGTCCGCGTAGGCGGCCGACGTGACGCGCGGGCGGCAGACGCGGCGCGCGGCGTGGCGGCGGGCCGCGCTGGTGACAGACGCGGCGCGTGGGGCGACGGCGGGCTGCACGCGACGGCGAATTGCGCGCGGCGGCGCGCTGCGCGGGCTCGACGCAGGCTACGGGTGGGCCCGCGCGAAAAAGTGACGCGCGAGCGAGCAGCCGAGGCGCGCGCGAAAAAAAAAAGTGACACACGCGCGCGAGCAGCCGAGGCGCGTGCGAGCAGCAGGCAAGGCAGGCAGGCAGTAGGTGAGGTAACACAGCTACGGGTGGGCCCTATTCTTAGGTCCTAGAGACCTCCTGCTCTAGATACCATGTCGAGACTAAGGCAAGGATGATTTGACTAAGATGAGAATCATATATGAAGGAAAACCCTAAGGGGTTGTACTCTACAGCCTACCCAAATCTAAAACATAGATATTGTCAGAATGTTACATAGCTTATACATTTGTGTAGGCTATAGTGGGGTATCCCATAGGGGGTACAACCCAATTAGGGTTAGTACTTGTACTCACTCCTTTCATAGTTCATTCATTCTCGTTTCTATTTCCTCATGGTATCGAGCAGGTTCCCTCGTGGGAACTGTTCCTAGGGCCCACCAAAATCGAACATTTTTTTTCCTGCCCGGAGCGCGCCTCGCTTAGGCCTCCTACGGCCCCGTCGCGTCCCCCCTAGCGACCTTCCTTCCGCCGCCCTTACTAGGCCGTCGCCACCCTTAGCGGCCCGTCGTCACCCTACGCGGCCCGGCGCCGCCCTTTAGCCGCCCGTCCCGGCCCGTCGACGCCCGTGCGCCGCCCGTCCCGGCCCCGCGCCGCTGTCCCGGCCCGTCGCCACCCGTGCGGTGCCCGCCCCGGCCCGTCGCTGCCTGTCCCGGCTCGTCGCCGCCCGTGCACCGCCTGTCCCGGCCCGTCGCCGCCCATACCGGCCCGTGCGCCGCCTGTCCCGGCCCGTCGCCGCCCGGCCCGTCGCCGCCCGTACCGGCCCGTCGCCGCCCTTTGCGGCGTCACGTGCCGCCCCTACCCGCGGCTCTGCCGCCTTACCTGCGGCTCCGCCACCCTACCCGTGGCTCTGCCGCCCTACCCTACCTGCGGCCCCGCTGCCCTATCAGCGGCCCCGCCACCCTACCTGCGGCCCCGCCGCCTCACTCTCGGCCCCGCCGCCTCACTCAGCGGCCCCGCCACCCTACCTGCGGCCCCGCCGCCTCGCTCTCGGCCCCGTCACCTGCTACAGCGCCGCCCGCCACCCGAGCCGTCTCACCCGGCCGAGCAGCCGACCGCCGCGCCGCCCTACAGCAGCACAACCGAGCCGCCCGGCAGCAGAGCAGTCGAGCCGCCCAGCAGCCGAGCCGCCCAGCAGCCGAGCCGCCCAGCAGCCGAGCCGCCCTGCAGCCGAGCCGCCCAGCAGCCGAGCCGCCCAGCAGCAAAGCCGCCAAGCCGCCGAGCCGCCCAGCAGCCGAGCCGCCGAGCCGCCCTACTTCCGGGCTGCCCGACCTGCCCAGTCTGGTGAGCACAGCGCCTTTTTCACTGCACTGCCCTCACCCTACTGTTTGCACTGCTAGTCGTCTAGGGTCATGGCTACCCCTAGTGTCCTCGCCTTTGACGCTGAGGGTCGGGCCATTGACTTTGACGTCAGGGTAGATGACCTGCAGCTGTTCTTACAGTGCGATAGGGCAGACGGCCTCTCTCTCTTTGACCTCACCTCTGGCGCTTCCCCTGCCCCTGCTGCTGATGCTGACGCCACTGTTTGCTCCCAGTGGGCCACGCGCGACGTTGCTGCACGTCTTGCTGTGCGTCGCCACCTCCCTACCTCCGAGCGTGCGCACTTTAGTCAGTACAAGAGTGCTCAGACCTTGTACGACGCTGTAATCGCGCGCTACTCCTCCCCTGCCACTGCTGCACTGAGCCGTCTCATGCTACCGTACCTCTTTCCTGACCTTGCTGCCTTTCCCACAGTAGCTGACCTCATTACGCACCTCCGCACTAGTGACACTCGCTACCGCGCTGCACTTCCTGCTGACTTCTGCGCCAAGAACCCCCCCCCCCCCATGTACATCACTCTCTACTACATAGTCACTCGCCTCCCTGACTCCCTTCGTGTAGTCAGGGACCACTTCCTCTCAGTCTGTCCCACCACTCTCACTGTTGACCTCCTCGAGAAGGCCCTCCTAGTGATAGAGAAGAGCATAGTCGCTGTAGGAGCCTCTCGAGGTGACCCGCGCACCCCCATCTTTGAGGGGTGTTCTCCCTCCCCCCTTCTGCCCTCTGTTGCCTCCGCTGCTGCGGCCGACCTCCTTGGTCTTGAGTCGGTCGGTGCGGCGTTTGCCCCTAGCGGGAGACGCCGCCCTGGCAAGGGCAAGGGGGGCAAGGGCGCTGGAGGAGCGAGCGGGGGCGGTGGAGGTGGAGGTGGCGGCGGTGGGGGGATTGGGGGTGGCAGTGGGAGTGGAGGTGGGGGTGGAGGGGTCGGTGGCGGCAGTGGAGGCGGAGGCGGCGGCGGCGGTGGCGGTGGGAGCGGAGGTGGCGGAGGTGGCGGCGGTGGAGGCGGAGGCGGAGGCGGCGGCAGTAGCGGAGGCGGTGGGGGTGGCGGTGGAGCTGGTCGCGGGTCTTCGCAGAGGAGTGGCTCCGGTGGTGGCTCGCGCCAGCAGCAGCAGCGCAGTCGTGAGACCCTGACCCCTCAGCAGCTCCGTGAGTGGTACACTGCATGCCAGCGGGGTGGGGGTTTTGGTCCGTGCTCCTACGTCCTGCGCACCGGCGACCGTGCGGGTGAGTAGTGTGGGGGAGCCCACCACACCCAGCGCTGCTTTGGCCGCCTGACGGACGGTGGCAGTTCTACCACCCCACCTCTCAGCGTGTTCTGTCCTCCCAGGACGTCACGTTTGACGAGTCGGTCCCCTACTACCGCCTCTTCCCATACCGCACTCCGTCCCTCCCCCCGCCACCGCTCTACCTTGTGCCAGTTCCCCCCCCGGTAGACCCCCTCCCCCCTCAGGGTCCTGCCCCTTCAGGTGTGTCCCAGGTAGGCGCAGTCGAGCCTGTCAAGGTTACTGGTGACTCTGGTGCTGCTGAGGGTGCTGAGCCTGGGGGTGCTGACTCTGGGGGTGCTGAGCGTGTGGGTGCTACGCCTTGGGGTGCTGAGCCTGAGGGTGCTACTACTAGGGGTGCTGAGCCTGGGGGTGCTGAGCCTAGGGGTGCGGCGCCTGGGGGTGCTGAGCCTGGGGGTGCTACGCCAGGGGGTGCTGAGCCTGGGGGTGCACGCCTGGAGGTGCTGAGCCTGGGGGTGCGGAGCCTGAGGGAGCTGGGCCTGCTCGTGTGGCGTCTGGCGGTGTTGGGCCTGGAGGTTTTCTAGGTGCTTCGTCTCGGCGGGAGCCACTCTCTCCACAGGAGCTGCGCGAGTGGTTTGCCCTTCGCTGGAGGCGTACTGCTGGAGCTGGAGGTTCTTCGGCTGCTGAGGGTGCTGGTGCCGCGGGTCCCGGAGGTGCTCGTACTGGGAGTACTGGAGCTGCTGGGCCTGCGGGTATGACTGGAGCAGGAGCTGCTGAGGGTGTTGGCGCTGAGGCTACTGCTGTCGGTCCTGGAGGCGGTCCTGCTGTGTGTGGAGTCGCCGCGCGGCCTCGGCCGTACTTCGTTCCGCTCCTGCCTTCTACTGGTCCTCCTCCTCCTTTAGAGTGTCCACAGCCTGTCCCCTCACAGTTACATTCACAGCCGGCCTTCCCACTGCCCGATCCTTCTCCCTACACTGGTCCTACTCGAGGTCTTGCTGAGCGTCGTGAGCCTGCGTCTCGCCCTGCGTCGCCTGTCCGTCCTGCTCGCACTAGTGGCCGTGGTTTGCGTCAGCGTCCTCCTCCTGCCCCTGGCACGCACTGGATGTCTCTGCGTCCGTCCACTGCTCCTCTGCGTGCCCCTTTGCCTTCTCCTCCTGAGTCCTCTCTTCCTGCTCTTGCCGACCCGGAGTCGGACTCTCTTCGTACTGCCAGTCCTACTGTCACGCGTCTTCTTGCTACTGTCGTCACTGACCCTTCCTTTGAGTCCACTGCTGCGTATGCCCTAGTTGCTGAGCTCGTCGACTTTGCTGCTCGCTGTCGTCTAGACTACGCTGCTAGTCTTGTCGCTGAGTCTGAGTCTGTCTGTCCTCCGTCCGTCGGGGGTGAGTGTGCCCTTGGCACGGACGTCCTTGAGGACAGGCAGGAGGAGTTCCAGTGTTTGGCTGCTGCTTCACCTCATCTCGTGTCCGTACTGGAGACCCGGATGCACTTGACATCCCGACTCCGCGATCTTACGCAGAGGCGACAGAGGGTCCCTACTCCTCTCAGTGGCAGGCAGCTATGGACACAGAGATGGCTTCCTGGAAGTCCACAGGCACCTACGTTGACGAGGTTCCCCCGCCTGGGGCGAATATCGTCAGTGGCATGTGGATTTTCAGGGTGAAGCGGCCGCCGGGTTCTCCGCCTGTCTTCAAGGCGCGTTACGTGGCTCGTGGCTTCAGTCAGCGGCAGGGAGTTGACTACTTTCAGACCTTCTCTCCCAACCCGAAGATGACCAATCTTCGGGTACTGCTGCACATAGCTGCTCACCGCGACTACGAGCTGCACTTTCTTGACTTCAGCACTGCTTTCTTGCAGGGCAGCCTGCACGAGGAGATCTGGCTGCGTCGCCCACCTGGCTTCACTGGGTCTTTTCCTCCTGGCACCCAGTGGAGCCTCCGGCGGCCAGTCTACGGTCTCCGCCAGGCACCGCGTGAGTGGCACGACACACTGAGGACTACACTTGCGGCTATTGGGTTTGCTCCCTCTACTGCCGACCCGTCGCTGTTTCTGCGCACCGACTCTTCTTTGCCGCCATTCTACATCCTCGTGTACGTCGACGACTTGGTCGTTGCCACTGCTGACATTGCTGGACTCGCCCACGTGAAGTCCGAGCTGCAGAAGAGACACACGTGCACTGACCTGGGTGAACTGCGCAGCTACCTTGGCTTGCAGATCACCCGGGACAGAGCACGCCGCACCATTACCCTGACTCAGTCACACATGATGCAGCAGGTCCTTCAGCGCTTCGGCTTCACGTACTCCTCGCCTCAGGCCACTCCTCTGCCTACTCGCCACTCGCTCTCAGCTTTGCCTTCGGATGAGTCCGTAGAGTCAAGTGGCCCGTATCCAGAGCTTGTTGGTTGCCTCATGTACCTGATGACCTGCACACAACCTGACCTTGCATACCCTCTTAGCATTCTCGCACGCTATGTTGCTCCTGGGAGACACAGACCGGAGCACATGGCTGCAGCAAAGAGGGTGTTGCGCTACTTGTGCAGTACGTCGGGCATGGGGCTTGTGCTTGGAGGGCGGAGTCCAGTGGTCCTCACTGGGCACGCAGACGCTTCTTGGGCTGACGACCAGGCTACGCAGCGGTCGTCACAGGGTTACACCTTCAGCCTTGGTTCCGGCTCTGTTTCGTGGCGGGCTACCCGCTCGTCTTCTGTTCTCGGCTCCAGTTGTGAGGCTGAGATCTACGCTGGGTCCATGGCTGCACAGGAGCTTCGCTGGCTCACCTACCTGCTTACTGACCTCGGAGAGCCGCCTCGTTCTCCTCCAGTGCTGTAGGTAGACAACAAGGCCATGCTGGCCTTGTGTCGAGAGCAGAGACTGGAGCACAGAACGAAGCACATTGCTCTCTGCTACTTTCTTGCTCGTGAGCTGAATATGTTCGAAGCGCAGTGGCACGAGGTCAACTATCTCGTGCGAGTCACCACTGGAGTCGGGGATGTCAAAGTCCAGGACATACACTACGTTTTCGGATTATGCTCGCCCGATCTGCCTGCGGGGGAAAGTCCTCGACTCGTAGTGCAGTAGAATGTCACGCGTTGCACGATCCGTGCTGAGATCGACGCCCGAGTCCATGAGCTGTGCGGCGGAGAGCAGGTTGAAGCGCAGGTTCTGGACGATCAACACATCGTTGAGCGTGATGTGCATGCGGCTTCTGCGTGCCTTGAGCACGACGATGCCTTGCGCGCTTGCGCGCAGGCGTGTATTGTTAGCCACGGTGATGTGGGTGACTGTGAGGGTGGCGGCGGCATTGGATATGTAATGCTCCGACCCCACCATGTGCTGGCCGCAGCAGCTGTCCAGATACCAAGTGTTGTAGCGCTTCCAGTCGTCATGTGCGAGTAGTGCCAATCGTGGCGTGACGATGTGCGGAGTGTCAAACTTAAGAAATTGCTCGCGCGAGAGCCAATCGAGTGGCGCCGCCCGCATATCAGGTACGTGCGGCGGGCTTTCAAGCAGCGGGACTGGAAGGTTCCAGTCCTAGTCGTCATCGTCGGTGAAGTCGTGGCGCGGGCTGAACGGATTGTTGTTGGTAAACGCGCCAATGGGATGCGGTGCTGGCTCAGGTGATGGTGAGCGCACGCGGCGGCGACGCGACTCGCCCGTCATGGCCATGTTGCTCATGACGTTGCGTACTGGGGCAGTCGATGACGGCTGCTGCTGCTGATGCTGAACCGCTGGGTTCAGGTTGCGCGTGGGGGGTTGATACCCCTGGGCTGGACGCATGTCGCCTCGTGCGTCTTGTCGGCTGGACCAATTGCTCGGGATGGTCTGGCGAGGGCGGGATCGGGATTTACATCGATCCGCCAAATGCCCGAAGCTTCTACAAATCTTGCAGTAGAGGCGTCGCGGCCGTCGCTCTTCGTTGTTGTCGGCGTAGAAGGCGAGCCGTTCACGTTCTCGTTGTGGCGTTGGTCGCAGCTGATCCATATCCCGTTGTTCGACGAGAAGTGCGGCGCAAAGAGCGGCCTCCGAGATGACCCTCTGCTGCCGGAGAGGCGCCTTGCATGGCCGCCACTCTGGGCCGAGCCCTTGAAGCACGATGTTGACAAAATTCTCTTCTGATATCGAGCTTCCCAACTTCGCGATTTGATCGCGAAGGCTCCGACAGCGATTGATGTAACTATTGGCCTTCTCCCCGAGGGCCATTTTGGTTTCCTGTAGCTGCTAGAGCAGCCGGCTCTAAGAAACAGAGTCCTTCAGCTGATACACGCCGTTCAGGTGGCGGCAAGCGTCGAGGGCTGGAGCAGCCAATGTCTTGTATGAACGAATGTTCAACTGCTCCGCCGGTGTCATGTTGCGCAGGAGGATGCCGTACGCCATCAGGGACTCGTTGTAGTACCTTGTCCTAGCGTCGTCGGTGTCCTTAGCGGGCTCCGCGTAACTCCCGTCGAAGTAGTGAAAAATCTGAGCGTTCTGCAGCAGGAGCTCCAGCTCGAAGCTCCAGGTATAGAAGTCTTTGCCATCAAAACACGCACTTGTCTTTATTTTTGATATGCTGAGAAACCTTGATTGCGCAGAGAGAACTGCCTCTTTACTGGTGTCAGAACATTATAGCTTATGCATTTGTGTAGGCTGTAGTGGGGTAGCCCATAAGGGGTACAACCCAATCAGGGTTAGTACTTGTACCCAACTGTTTCATAGTCCATTCATTCTCGTTTCAGTTTTCTCATGGTATCGAGCAGGTTCCCTCGTGGGAACTGTTCCTAGGGCCCACCAAGTCGATTTTTTTTTTCCTGCCCGGAGCGCGCTCAGCCCTAGCCCGAGTCGCGCTCCCCTCTCTCGACACAGTCGTGCCGCCCTAGCGGCCCCGTCGCCTACCTCGCGGCCCTCACGCCGCCCTTCGGCCTCGTCGCCTACGCTGCAGCCCGCGCGCCGCCCTTTCCCGGCCCCGATCCGCCGCCTTGCGGCCTCGTCGCCCACCCTGCGGCCCGCGCGCCGCCCTTCCTGGCCCCCGACCCGCCGCACTGCGGCCTCGTCGCCCGCCCCGCGGCCCGCGCGCCGCCCTTTCCCGGCCCCGATCCGCCGCCCTGCGGCCTCGGCGCCTACCCTGCGGCCCTCGCGCCGCCCTGCGGCCCTGACGCCGCCCTTACCTCCGGCCCCGCCACCTAACATCGGCCCCGTCGCCCTCACCTGCGGCCCCGTCGCCCTCACCTGCGGCCCCGCCGCCCTTACCTGCGGCCCCGCCTCCCTTACCTGCGGCCCCGCCGCCCTTACCTGCGGCCCCGCCGCCCTTACCTGCGGCCCCGCCACCCTTACCTGCGGCCCCGTCGCCCTCACCTGCGGCCCCGCCGCCCTTACCTGCGGCCCAGCCGCCACCACTACGGCGCAGGCGCCGTCGCCTGCTGCAGCGCCGCCCGCCACCTGAGCTGCCCGAGCCGCCTCACCCAGCCGAGCAGCCGACCGCCGCGCCGCCTTGCAGCCGCACCGCCGAGCCGCCCACCAGCCTAGCCGCCGAGCCGCCGAGCAGCCGAACCGCCGAGCAGCCGAGCCGCCGAGCCGCCCGGCAGCCGAGCCGCCAAGCCATCGAGCCGCCAAGCAGCCAAGCCGCCGAGCCGCCCAGCAGCCGAGCCGCCGAGCCGCCCTCCCGCCGAGCCGCCCAGCAGCCGTGCCGCCGAGCCGCCCAGCAGCAGAGCCGCCCTACCGCCGAGCCGCCCGAGCAGCCCTGTCCGGTAAGAGCAGCGCCTCTTTCACCTGCACTGCCCTTACCCTACTGTTTACACTGCTAGTCTACTGTTGTCATGGCTACCCCTAGTGTCCTCGCTTTTGACGCTAAGGGTTGGGCCATTGACTTTGACGTCTGGATAGATAACCTGCAGCTCTTCTTAAAGTGCGATAGGGCAGACGATCTCTCCCTCTTTGACCTCACCTCTGGTGCCTCTCCTGCCCCTGCTGCTGATGCTGACGCCATTGCTCGCTCCCAGTGGGCCACGCGCGATGCTGTTGCACGTCTTGCTGTGCGTCGCCACCTCCCTACCTCTGAGCGTGCGCACTTTAGTCAGTACAAGAGTGCTCAGACCTTGTACGACGCTGTAGTTGCACGCTACTCCTCCCCTGCCACTGCTGCACTGAGCCGTCTCATGCTACCGTACCTCTTCCCAGACCTTGCTGCCTTTCCCACAGTTGCTGACCTCATTACGCACCTTCGCACTAGTGACACTCGCTACCGCGCTGCGCTTCCTGCTGAGTTTTGCGCCAAGAACCCCCCCCTCCATGTATATCACCCTCTACTACATAGTCACCCGGCTCCCTGACTACCTTCGCGTAGTCAGGGACCACTTCCTCGCAGTGTGCCCCACCACTCTCACCATTGACCTCCTCGAGAAGGCCCTCCTAGCAGCGGAGAAGAGCATAGTCGCTGTAGGAGCCTCTCGTGGTGACCCCCGCACCCCTGTCTTTGAGGGGTGTTCTCCCTCCCCCCTCTTGCCCTCTGTTGCTTCTGCTGTTGCGGCCGACCTCGTTGGTTTTGAGTCGGTCGGCGCTGCGTCTGCCCCTTCGGGGAAGCGCCGCACAGGCAAGGGCAAGGTGGGCAAGGGCGCTGGAGGAGCAGGCGGGGGCGGTGGAGGCGGCGGTGGAGGCGGCGGAGGGAGTGGGGGTGGTGGTGGGAGTGGTGGCGGGGGTGGGGGTGCCGGTGGCAGCGGTGGAGGCGGAGGCGGAGGCAGTGGTGGCGGAGGGAGCGGAGGCGGCGGTGGTGGCGGAGGCGGCGGCGGTGGCGGAGGCGGCGGAGGTGGCGGTGGAGCAGGTCGCGGTTCTGCACAGAGGAGTGGCTCAGGTGGTGGTCCGCGCCAGCAGCAGCAGCGCGGGCGTGAGACCCTGTCCCCTCAGCAGCTCCGTGAGTGGTACACTGCACGCCAGCGGGGTGGGGGTTTTGGTCCGTGCACCTACGTCCTGCGCACCGGCGACCGTGCAGGTGAGCAGTGTGGGGGTGCGCACCCCAATCAGCGCTGCTTTGGCCGCCTGACGGACGCTTGGCGTCACCAGTTTCTGGAGGCCACGGAGATCCCCCGCTGGGGTGAGCTGTCTAGGGCCGGAGTAGCTATCTTTGATCTTGACTTTGATGCTATCCTTGCTGCCATGTATGCTGTGACTATTAGTGATGAGGGTGACTGTTACCGGTGTTTTTCGCCCGACCCGGGCATTGAGACTGCTGCTCTAGGTACTGCTCTAGGCCCCGCTGCAGACGCTTCACCTTGACGTGTGGGGCCCCGCCCGCGTCCGTGGACAGGGTCACGAGCGCTACTTCCTACTGGTGGTTGACGACTACTCGCGTTACACCACATTCTTCCCCTTGCACAGCAAGGGTGATGTCACTGAGGTGCTGATCGACAGGATCCGCGCAGCTCGTCTCCAGCTCAGGCAGAGCTTCGGCTCGGACTTTCCTGTTCTGCGTCTGCACTCTGACACAGGCGGAGAGTTCTCCTCTGGCCTTCTGCGAGCCTACTGTCGTGCACGAGGCATCCGCCAGACCTTCACGCTTCCGGACTCTCCACAGCAAAATGGGATTGCTGAGCGCCGCATTGGCATGGTCATGGACGTCGCTCGTACGCCCATGATGCATGCGGCTGCCCCCCATTTTCTGTGGCCGTTTGCGGTTCGGTACGCGGCGCATCAGATCAACCTCCACCCCAAGGTCTCCCGGCTGGAGACCTCCCCAGCCTTGCTGTGGACGGGGAAGGTTGGCGATGCGTCTGCGTTCCGTGTCTGGGGATCTTGAGCGTTTGTTCGCGACTTGTCTGCAGACAAGCTGTCCCCTCGTGCTGCTCCTTGCGTCTTCCTGGGTTTCCCCCCTGACGCGCCAGGGTGGCAGTTCTACCACCCCACCTCTCGCCGTGTTCTGTCCTCCCAGGACGTCATGTTTGACGAGTCGGTCCCCTACTACCGTCTCTTCCCCTACCGCACTCCGTCCCTCCCCCCGCCGCCGCTCTTCCTTGTACCAGGTCCCCCCCCGGTAGACCCCCTCCCCCCTCAGGGTCCTGCCCCTTCAGGTGTGTCCCAGGTAGACGCAGTCGAGCCTGTCGAGGTCACTGGTGACTCTGGTGCTACTGAGGGTGCTGAGCCTGGGGGTGCCGACTCTGCGGGTGCTGAGCGTGTGCGTGCTGCGTCTGGGGGTCCTGAGACTGGGGGTGCTGAGCCTGGGGGTGCTGAGCCTGGGGGTGCTGTGCCTGGGGGTGCTGAGCCTGGGGGTGCTGCGCCTAGGGGTGCTGAGCCTGGGGGTGCTACGTCTGGGGGTGTTGCGTCTTGGGGAGCCTAGGGGTGCTACGTCTGGAGGTGGTGAGCCTTGGGGTGTGGAGCCTAAGGGAGCTGGGCCTGCTTGTGAGGCGTCCGGCAGTGCTGGGCCTGGAGGTTCTCCGGGTGCTTCGTCTCGGCAGGAGCCGCTCTCTCCACCAGAGTTGCGCGAGTGGTTTGCCCGGCGCTGGAGGCGTACTGCTGGAGCTGGAGGTTCTTCGGCTGCTAAGGGTGCTGGTGCCGTGGGTTCCGGAGGTGCTCGTACTGGAGGTACTGGAGCTGCTGGGCCTGCGGGTACGACTGGAGCTAGAGATGCTGCGGTTGATGGCGCTGAGGCTACTGCTGTCGGTGCTGGAGGCGTTTCTGCTGGGGGTGCTACTGGTGCTGCTGGAGGTACTGGAGCTGGAGGTGCTGCTAGCGCTGGTGCTGCCACTGGGGGTGCTGGTGCTGTCCCTGATGTGTCTGGAGTCGCTGCGCGGCCTCGGCCGTACTTCGTTCCGCTCCTTCAGCAGGTTCTTGGTCTCCCGCCGTCTTCTAGTCCTCCTCCTCCGTTAGAGTGTCCACAGCCTGTCCCGTCACAGTTACAGTTACAGCCCGCCTCCCCACTGCCTGCTCCTTCTCCCTACACTGGTCCTACTGGAGGTCTTGCTGAGCGTCGTGAGCCTGCGTCTCGTCCTGCGTCGCCTGTCCATGCTGCTCGCCCTAGTGGTCGCGGTTCGCGTGAGCGTCCTCCTCCTGTCCCTGGCACGCACCGGATGTCTCTGCATCCGTCCACTGCTCCTCTTCGTGCCCCTTTACCCTCTCCTTCTGAGTCTTCTCTTCCTGCTCTTGCCGACCCGGAGTCGGACTCTCTTCGTGCTGCCAGTCCTACTGTCACGCGTCTCCTTGCTACTGTCGTCACTTACCCTTCCTTTGAGTCCACTGTTGCGTCTGCTCTTGTTGCTGAGCTCGTCGACTTTGCTGCTCGCTGTCGTCTAGACTTCGCTGCTAGTCTTGTTGCTGAGTCTGAGTCTGCCTGTCCTCCGTCCGTCGGGGGTAGGTGTGCCCTTGGCACGGACGTCCTTGAGGACAGGCAGGAGGAGTTCCAGTGTCTGGCAGCTGCTTCACCTCATCTCGTGTCCGTACTGCTCACCCCTGAGGGAGACCCAGATGCACTTGACATCCCGACTCCGCGCTCTTATGCGGAGGCGATAGAGGGTCCCTACTCCTCTCAGTGGCAGGCAGCTATGGACGTAGAGATGGCTTCTTGGAAGTCCACAGGCACCTACCTTGACGAGGCTCCCCCACCTGGGGCGAACATCGTCAGTGGCATGTGGATTTTCAGGGTGAAGCGGCCGCCGGGTTCCCCGCCTGCCTTAAAGGCGCGGTACGTGGCTCGTGGCTTCAGTTAGCGGCAGGGAGTTGACTACTTTCAGACCTTCTCTCCCACCCCGAAGATGACCACTCTTCGGGTACTGCTGCACGTAGCTGCTCACCGTGACTACGAGCTGCACTCTCTTGACTTCAGCACTGCTTTCTTGCAGGGCAGCGTGCACGAGGAGATCTGGCTGCGCCGCCCGCCTGGCTTCACTGAGTCTTTTCCTCCTGGCACCCAGTGGAGCCTCCGGCGGCCAGTCTACGGTCTTCGCCAGGCACCGCGTGAGTGGCACGACACACTGAGGACTACGCTTGCGGCTCTTGGGTTTGCTCCCTCTACTGCTGACCCGTCGCTGTTTCTGCGCACCGACACCTCTCTGCCGCCATTCTACATCCTCGTGTAGACTTGGTCTTTGCCACAGCTGACACTGCTGGACTCGCCTACGTGAAGTCCGAGCTGCAGAAGAGACACACGTGCACAGACCTGGGTGAACTGCGCAGCTACCTTGGCTTGCAGATCACCCGGGACAGAGCACGCCGCACCATTACCCTGACTCAGACACACATGGTGCAGCAGGTCCTTCAGCGCTTCGGCTTCACGTACTCCTCGCCTCAGGCCACTCCTCTGCCTACTCGCCACTCGCTGTCAGCTCTGCCTTCGGATGAGTCCGTAGAGTCGAGTGGCCCGTACCCAGAGCTTGTTGGCTGCCTCATGTACCTGATGACCTGCACTCGACCTGACCTTGCATACCCTCTTAGCATTCTCGCATGCTATATTGCTCTTGGGAGACACAGACCGGAGCACATGGCTGCAGCGAAGAGGGTGTTGCGCTACTTGTGCAGTACGTCGGGCATGGGGCTTGTGCTTGGAGGGCGGAGTCCAGTGGTCCTCATTGGGCACGCAGACGCTTCTTGGGCTGACGACCAGGCTACGCAGCGGTCGTCACAAGGTTACACCTTCAGTCTTGGTTCCGGCTCTGTTTTGTGATCCACCCTGAGCTTGCTTTGCTTTGCTTTGCTTAACTTGTCTTGTGACCCCTTGTTCTCCCCCACTTTGTCTATGGGGGTGTGTCAGAACATTATAGCTTATACATTTGTGTAGGCTGTAGTGGGGTAGCCCATAAGGGGTACAACCCAATTAGGGTTAGTACTTGTACCCAACTGTTTCATAGTCCATTCATTCTCGTTTCAGTTTTCTCAACTGGGACGGGGAGTCTTGGGGGTCGAACCATTTGTGTCGAGGGAGAAGGTGTGCGGGGCAACGTTCTGGCCATTTGGGGCCGGTTGAGAAGGTTGCGAGGAGGTTCCCGCGTCGCCATTCCGCAATGTTTGGAGCCCTTGCTCCAAGCTGGTGAGTCGCTGAAGAAGTTGTGCGAGGACTTCGGTCCCGATAGTCGTCCTTCCCTCGTTTGTCGCAACCGGGTTGGGTTGCGCTTCAGCCGTCAGATTTGTCTGACCACCAGATCCTCCGGCCATTCTTACACGCGAGCGTGTGCCGGACGCCACTTCCCGAATGTCGTAGATTTCGGAGTGGCAGTGCGAAGGATTCCCGAGCCACTCCCATACCATGTTACGATCGTAAATTGATCGTTGCCAGGATCTCCTCGGAAAGGTTCGCACAGAGCTAGGTAGAGTTGGCGGGCCCTTGACCTCAATAGCAGAGTGAATGTAAAATGCTTGAGATAATTAAAACATGCAAATACAAAGCTATAAATATGAGTACAGGGGAATTCGAATCGACCTAGCTAGCCATGTACTCTAACGGGTACATTCCCAACCGTGCGGCGCGTACAATTACGAAACTGTTCCCGCCCAATTCCTCCTGACTGCAACTGCCCGATGTCGTCTGCTCCGACGGTCCAGATCCACTCTAACCTGTCAGAATATTATGCTCTAGCCTGTAGTGGGGTGCTCCATAGCGAGTACAACCCTTCTAGGGTTTGCTATTTGTATCCCCATTCTTGCTAGTTCAACCCTCTTCTCTCTTCTAAACTTTCACATGCTATCAGAGCAGGTCGATCCTCTTGGATCGTTCCTGTGGGTGGGCTCACCACCTCGTTGCTTCCGCTGCAACTGCTACTGCTACTCTCTGTGCCGCACGCCCCGTGGTGTGTGGCAGTTTTTTCTTCCCGCCGTGCGCCCCGAGGCGCGCGGCGGTTTTCTGCCCGCCGTGCGCCCCGAGGCGCGCGGCGGTTCTCTGCCCGCTGTGCGCCCCGAGGCACGCGGCGGGCTTCTGCCCCGTCACTCGGCGCGTCGCCCTCGGGAGGCGCTGCGCCGAGCGACGGGGACCCGCGCGTCGGCCCCGTCGCCGCCCGCATCGGCCGCGTCGCCGCCCGCAGCGGCCCCGTCGCCGCCCGCAGCGACCCCGTCCCCGCCCGCATCGGCCCCGTCGTCGCCGCCAGCGGCCCCGTCGCCGCCACTTGCGGCCCCGGCCCCGCCCCGGCCATGCCTCGTCGTCAGCCGCGGCGCACCGAGGGCACGTGCACCGCCCCCCCCCCCCCCCCCCCCCCCCCCCCCCCTCTTTTCCCGTCGCCTGTCGAGGCGACCTGAGGGGGCCGCGATGGGAGGGGCGATGTGGGGGTGGGGGTGAGCGTCGCCCCTTCTGCCGCCTA